TCGCCGCGCACCTTCACCTGCGCCGCCCGCGCTCCAGCCCGCAGGCAGCTCCAGCCCGGGACGCCGAGGCAGAGCCCCGCTGCCGTTGCTCCCCGGGGCCCGCGGGGAGCTAGAAGAGCCAACATGCTGGCCGCGTGCGGAGCCGCCTTCCTCCTCATGCACCTGGGCTTGCCGCCGTGGCTGGGGGTCGGCGCCCAGGCCACCCCCCAGGGTAAGCGGGCTCGGGCCGGGTCCCTCATTCGCGGAGCCCGCCGTCCAGCGCCGCGCTGCTCAGCTCTTGGCTCCGGGGGCCTCGCTCAACACCCCTGTCCCTCTGGGGTCCGAGTCAAAGCACGTTGTGATTGGAAGCTGTGACTTGAGGATAGTGTTTTCCGAGGTTAGGTTTTCCCGCGACAAGACTAATTCCCAAAACAATCGTTTTGGAGACGCAAACCTTGTTTTCAGTCTACGCGGGGTCGTGGGGTCTACTCAGAAGCTTATCACATAGCCTCAGACTGGAAACATGCCCTGTCTGGTGTAAGGTGAACTTGACTTGTGTCTGTGGGCTCCGCTTCTGTCACCCCTTGCCCCCTATATTCCACGAGGCAGCGCCGCGTCCCCTGGACAGCCCCAGGAAAGGTGCAGCGTTTCTCTACCCACCAGCCTTGTTTCAGCTGTAACTTTGCTTGTACGCCAAAGCCTCCTTTAGGAACTTGATTCCGTGATTCCTGGGACAAATAGAACTGGAGAGGCAGAGAAAATCGTCCTTTTCTCTGGGAAGAGGTAAAAATTTGATAATTTGAAAAGACACCTGGGTGATCTTCAAACCCCCTTGTGAGATGGGGTGAAAGTAATGGCTGGGCAGAAAGCACTTAAGCTAAAAGAAAATTTTTGTGAAGAGTAAAGAGAGAAAGTATTTAAGCAAGGAAAGATCTCCCAGGCTTTGGCTATCTAGTGCTGATCATCTGTTTGAAATTGGTGCCCAGGTTAATTTAATTACTAAAGAAAGACATCTGGAAGAGATACAGACTGTCTTTCTTCTTTTGTGCCTAAATCAGGTTTGTAAAAGGAGGCTTTACAATAAGTTGTAAATTCAGTTACAAGCTGACAGTTTAAAACATTGATCTTAGTATTTTCTTTCTTTTTTGAGTACCACTGTTGTAGATTTCACTTATTCGACCAAACCTACTAAAATAAGATAGTAAAAGTTGTTGTTCCTCACAAAGCCAGAATGAAGAATGCCGATAACGGCCATTCTCGACTCCCTTCCCTTGCCATGGCAGTAATCACCCAGTTGAGCTTTACATTTCACCAAATAACTCATTTTTTTCCAGATCAGGCAACCAAACTTGCTGTTAGTTTAGATTGAAATATTTGAAATGCTGTAGTCTGTATTTATTTGCTATGACTCTGCTTCTAATTGACTTTGCTACTAATTGATATATAGCATTAATTTCAGGTGTACAACATAGTGATCAGTTTATCCATCGTAATAAGAAGTAGACAATAATGTGAATTAACATCCTACACCATACATAGTTACAAAAACTTTTCTTGTGGTGAGAACTTTTAGGATCTACTTGTAACATCTCTCAAATATACAATACAATATTATAGTCATGCTGCACATTACATTACCATGAATTATTTGCTTTATAACTGGAAGTTTGTGCCTTTTTTAAGCTTTATGTATTTATGCGTTCAGAGCTGGGGTACAGGCCAGAGGTGCAGGGGCGGTAAGAGGATTCACCAGCAACAGAGTGGGGAGCAGAACAGGCAGATTGACTAAGTACACTGCTGATGGGAGCAGTGAGTGGAACAGAAGAGGTCTACCAAGCCATGTGGGTCACCTCCCTGGCCAGGGATTGAACTCATGCTGAAGTCACTGCTACGAGCTTCGTGGTGCTGTGCTTTACAGTGCTGTGCTTTAACCTGTTGTGCCACAGGAAAGGCCAGACGTTTGTGCCTTTTGATCCCCATTTTATGTCCCAGCAATCTGCTTGGTATTGTGGTTTTTTATCAATTCCACAAGTAAATGAGATCATATGGTATCTGTCTTGCTCTTTCCTACTTATTTCACATATCTCAATGCCCTCAAGGTACACCTACATTGTTGAAAGTGGCAAAATCTCATTCTTTTTTATGACTGAAAATAATTCCATTGTTTGTCGATAACACATCATCTTTATCCATTCATTCATCAGTGCACACTTAAGCTGTTTCCACGTATTGACTATTGTAAAATAATGCTTCACTTTTGAGCATTTCGGTTTTCTTTGGATTAAAAATAGATTCCACCCAGACATGCTATTGCTGGGTTATGTGGTAGTTCTATTTTTAATTATTTGAGGACCCTCCATGCTGTTTTTCATAGTAGCTGTCCCAATTTACATTCCCACAATGTACAGGGTTGCCTTTTCTTTACATTTGACAATTTATTCACAAAGACAATTTATTCACATGTCTGTTTGTACTTTTGGTAAGTTATTTTAACAGGTGTAAAGTGATGTCTCAACAAATCTAAACAGATTTGCATTCTCTTAAAGATTAGTGTTGTTGAGCATCTTTTCATGTTTCTGTTGACCATGTGTGTGTATTTGGGAGAAAAATGTTCAAGCCTGCTCATTTCTTTTCCTCAGATTGTTTTGCTGTTGATTTATATGAGTTCTTCATATTTTTTGGCTATTAACCCTTTATCAGATACTGATTTGCCAATGTTTTCTCTAATTCTGTAGGTCGTCTTTTTGTTTTGTTGATTTCCTTTACTGTGCAAGTTTTTAGTTTGATGTAGTCTCACTTTGGCTTTTTTGGAATTGCTTTTAAAATAACAGAGAAAGTTTTGTGTTTTGCTTTTTTAACACGGCTCACAAGTAGGCTTGAATTTGTGGGTATAATATTTTGTGTTGTATTCTTGACGTTGCAACTCACTGCTTTGTGGGTGCAAACAGGTACAAATTTTGCTTCTACATAGATCTGCCTGTCATATAGAGACTTGAACTCAGGCTATGATACCTATATTATCTGGTTAATTTAGTTGCTGTTGATCTGATTAAGCCATGTTTCTGATGGATTCTTTTATTGAGTTATTTAGCCTTTTAATTATCAGCTCAACTTGATAATTTGCTTATCTCCTTTCTGTTGAGTTTCAGTGCTAATCTTAAATTAGAAGGGATTTGATTTTCATACTGTGTAAGTTGTCATTGCAGTGGTAATTTCCACGCTAACACTAGAGGGCTGTGCTTAGATTCTAACATTACTAAAATATAGTAATGTGAATAAAAAATTTGTAATGTCTCATTTCCTTTTCAGAACACTCTCCAAACTCAGTACTAAGCCTAACTTTGCCTCTTGAAAGAGAAGCCTGTGGCTTAGATGAACCATACAGATTGAAATACGATAAATTTAGTTTCACTTAAATTATGTATGTTATCATAGTCAAACCAAGAATACCAAGACTTTAGTGTTTTAATGCAGTTCAAACCCACATCTCTTTTTGAAGGTGGCTTGTCTTGAGTGAGGCTTTTAAACATATTGCCTGGTTTTCCTTTGTCTTCCTCACTGGGGAAATATAAATTTTGCAATTCCCTTGAAATTTAAAAATTCATTTTCCCTCTGGAAGTACTGTAACAGTCTTCATGTTTGGGGAGTCTGTAGTGCTATAAATAACATAATAGATTTTCTGCTTTCCAACTCTTCTAATATTACAATAAGAATTGTGTGAGGTCCTCTGGTACATAGAAAAGAATACAGATTCAGAAAGAAGACAAGTGTGTGTTTTGAAAAAAGTAAACATTCTTGCATAACTGGGTTTTTGTCTTTTATAGCTTTTATTTATTTTATTATACTACAAAAGCAATACCTGTTCATTGTAAAAAAAAAAAAGACAGACAAAGCCAAAAAAAGGAAATTAATATCATATAATCTAGATACAGCCACTGTTCGTGTTAATATGTTGTGCTATCTTTCAAAATTTTTATGCGAATTTTCAAATGGAATGTTATATAATTTTATAACATTTTGTTCCATTTTATATATCATATATCTGCAATGACTTTATATATCATGAATATTTTTCCTCGTTAAGCTGCATTACCCTTCTTAATAGATTGTATTCCACTCTTTGGAAGGACCAAAATTTATTTCCAGGGCTCTAATAGAAGACACCATACTATGTTTATAGTACTCTGATATAATGTAAATTGTTGAATAATCACAGTGCATTGAGATGGCTAAACTCCCCTCCTCTCTGCGAGCCCTTCTTTCTCAGTTAAGGAGTTTTTCAGAACAAAGGGTGTTGCCATCAGAGCATCAGGTGTCCCACCTCCTGCAGATCCAATTTTCACATAATTCCTTCCTAGTAGAAGTTCTAGAAGTGCCACTTGGTAGTGAATATCTTTATATCTAAATTTAACATGTTATTCATTGGCTCCTCAGGATAAATTTCTGTAGGTAGAATTGCTAAATCAAAGAGTATGTGTGGCTTAGGGCTTTTGGTGCTGTTATTGAAACGGTCTTAGTGTGTTAACTAGTTTAGAGCATACCCATGGCCATTTGATGCCTGCAGGGTAAATGAAATGCTCCTGGCCTCTGGCCATCACCTGTGGCCTTGAATGCTCTTGCGAGCATGATGGGTGCGCGTTCCTGAGGGCGGACACCTGGAGGGTGGCGTGGGCTGCACAGCTGGACCTAGAGGCGGAGGCTCTGAGGCCGCATCACGCAGGCTATGGCGGAGAGGCAGGACCATGAGAGAACACCTGGAGAGCCCAAAAAAAGCTTACTGATTCGCTGGGGCTGGTGAGCCTTTTCCTTAAACCCTCACCAACAGCTGGGTATTATTGTATTTGTTTTTCCAACTTGATGGTGAAAAAGACACCTTAATGTTAAGCTAGCAATTCCTTCCTCTAATAGTTAAGCATAATGTGAATAGCATTGTGGGGGGAGGGGTGTGTACACGTGCTTATTTGCCATTGTACATTTTTTGTAAATTGCCTTTTCATGGTCTGCCTAGTTTTTTGTTAGGATGCTTATTTTATTAATTTGTAAGATCTCTATAAATTTAAGGGTACTATTACCCTTTTAGTAACTAGATTATTGTATCCAAGAGAGTTCTACAGTTGGAAATTCCCCCAGGCTAAGTTGTTCAAATGATATTTGCATAAACTAAAAGAATTACTAAGTAACTTCTAGTGTCTGTTTCACAAATTTGATAGTTGCCTTTAAATAACTCTGAACTACTGTCTCTCACAGCTTTCATAAATAATTGCAGTTTGAGAGACAGTGCTGCTGGGTTGATTAAAAGCAACTTGGGACCATAAGAAAAGCAATGCATTCTCCTTGCACTTTACACCTGCAATGTTTTTGCCAGTGGGCATTTTCAGAACCACTTCTTAAGCCAGTTGTAACATTTGAGGTTTGCAAATTTAGTCTTCTGGGGATGGACTGTAACCTAGTGATGTATAATGTGCTATGTTCTGTTTTCAAATATTTAGACATTGTAAATGAGAAGGACGGACGGAAAATTAGTGATGTGGGAAAATAATTATAATATTAGTTTACATTTCTTAATAGCTTACTGTCAAGTTGTACCCTTCATGTTTGTTAACCCAAGGGTCAGTCTTTTACTGATGATCCATTTCTTCTTCTTGTCTCTAGTCTTTGATCTTCTTCCCTCTGCCAGCCAGAGGTTGAACCCAGGTGTTCTGCAGCCGATCCTGACAGACCCCACCCTGAATGAGCTCTATGTGATCTCCACCTTCAAGCTGCAGACTAAAAGTTCAGCCACTATCTTCGGCCTTTACTCTTCAACAGACAACAGCAAATATTTTGAATTTACTGTGATGGGGCGACTAAACAAAGGTAAGCAACTCTGCATAAATCATTGTCTTAAAAACTCCCTTTCCTCTCACAGGATTTGAGGTCTGTTTTTCTTGCCGTGGTTCCCTTGTAATTTTATTCTCAATCACGGTTCACTTCAAATATGCCTATCTAGGGAAGGTGAGTTGATAATGGGAAAAAGAATGAAGAATTGTTTGTGGTCAACATGATATTCTGGATCCAGCTCTGGAAGAGACAGGGCACAGGGCAATCGGGCCACTGTCTTAGCTCTTGTTGCAATAGCAAGCGCTATAATCTGAATGGATCAAACAACAGAAACTTACTTCTCACAGTATTGGAAGCTGAGTGGTCCAAGATCAGTCTATAGATTTGGTTCCTGATAAGGGCCCAAGTCCTGACTTGTAGACAGCTACCTTCTTACTGCACCCATGGTCTTTCCTCGTAGGTATGCGGTAGAGACAGGGAAAGCTCTCTTTCTTCCTCTCCTAATGACACTGATCCCTTCATGGAGATCTCCATAAATCCACTTCCTAATACCATCACCTGACCATCATGAGGGTCAGGACTTCAACATAAGAATTTTGGGGAGACTTGAATATTCAACTCATAATAGCCACCATGTATGAATTTTGGGGATACTTGAATATTCAACCCATAAATAGCCACCACACCATTCTTACCTTCCCATGGAAGCATGTGACTTGGCAGGCGTGACACCTTAGCGCTGCGAGCAGATCTCCCTGGACTTGGTAGAGAGTGCTCCCCAACCAGAGACTAAATGAACGACTCTTTCTACTAGTTCATACCAGTTTCCATAGGTCTTTCACCTGTTTGCTTTCTCTGGTAATGTGTTTTCACTGCCAATGTGAGTAGTACACTCTATGAAACGACTCCCAGTGAAAACAGGTCACTATGTTTTCTCCTTCCCTCCCACCCATGTCCTGAGGGCAACGCCTGTTCCTGCTTATTGAGGAATGTGACAGATCTGTGTTTGTGCTGCCTCTTGCTTTTAATAAAAACAAAGGACCATTCCTTCTCCCTACATTTGATATTTATTTCAGGTTTTGTTTTTTGTTTCAAAAGATTGAGTTATTTATGCATACAGAACTGGGGTACAGGCCAGAGGTGCAGGGGAGGTGAGAGGACTCACCAGAGACAGAGTGGGGAGCAGAACAGGCCCACTGACAAGTGCACTGCCTAGGGAAGCAACGGGCGGGTCACCTCTGGGGCTGGAGATCGAAGTCGTGCTGCAGTGGCTTTAGCATCTTTTTAGTGCTGTGCTTTAACCGGCAGCGCCACCAGGGAGGGCCCTTGCTTTTTTTTTTTTTTTTTTAAACAAATTAGGAATGTCAGGCCTTGTCTTAGATTCTAATTATAATTGAACACTCAGGCCTGTAGGTGTTAGGAATTGAAATTAATTTTCATCCTTAGATTTCATAGGTCTGTAGCGTTAAAAAGGAAATGCGACTTTAACCCCTTCTTTTATGTCAAGTTCCACATTCTCTTTCCCTCTGTCTTTGCCTCAGCCCCTGGGGCTTTTTGAGGTTTCAGATAACAAGAGAAGTCTGGGTTCAGTAGATGATTCAACTATTCTTGCCTCTTCTGCCACATCTTCAGCCCCAATTAGAGTACCCATCTCTCTGCTTTACAACAAACAACCCCATTTCCACCTCACATCTATTGAAGGAATTGCTCATCAAACAGCTCCTCTTCATTGAAAGATCAGAATTTCACTAAACTGTTGCATTAGATAATTTTCTCCTAGCTCAATTAAATGACTAAAAGGCTCTTTACAGAGTGAAAAACTGCTTCAAGCTTTTTGCCCTCACTGAATCTCACCCTCTATTTCTAAATTAACCAGTGTATGAATCTGTGAAAATTTCCATGTAGCCTGAAAACACAAGGAAACATCTTCTCTTGAATTGATTCTTCCCTATGTACCATTACATAAACAGATATATGGGCTGGCAGATGGGTAGGAAAGAGGCTTGTTGATGTTCCTCTAAAGAATCACTAGTCTGAGTTTCAGCTGTGTGTACCAGCTGATCACCGTGTTAGAGAAGATGAAAGGGCAGGACATCTCCACATATCTAGTCTATTAGAAAAGATAAAGGGGCCCTTAGGAAATATGAAAGAACCCAGAGATGAAACTTCTGAGAAAACAAAGAAGGGTTTATATTACTATTACCAGTTGAAGAATTTAGCAAGGAGTAATTTCTCTGGAGTAGTGGGAAATAGATTTATTATCCCTGATGAATCTGAAAGTTCTTGAAGGAACATCATTCTATTCTGACTGGAACAATGAGAAGTCACTGGATCTTTTAGGTCCCAAGAAAAGACTTATTAGTATGTGGTAGTGAACCCCCTAGTGAGGTCTTTGGTGGTGGCCACGCAGCCTGACATGATTTATGGAGGGCACTGGGATAATTCTTTCCTTGGAAGTGGGCCCCAGTTACTAGTACCAGTCAAGGCTCAGCTGGTCGCCTCTTCTGTTGATTTGCATGGAGACAGTGAAGCAGAAGAAATCAACATGTAATTCTGCTGATCTAGAACACTTGAGTAGGAAACAGGACATGTGATTTGGGGAAAGTTGACCAGACAGAGAGCATTAAAAAGCAGGATTTGGTTGTCTGGGCTCTAGAGGAGCTTTTACAGTAGACAAAAGTATAGCTCGTGGAAACAACAAAATGAGTTTGCCAGTGAACTGTTTCTACTGTTATACTGTAAATCATCCTACCCATGGCTATCTCACTTCTGTTCACAAAGCATAACTCTGACCCCAGAGAGCTTAGTGGTTCAGCATTCCAAGCTGAATAACATACATGCTCCTCTGCTGAGTGCTCATGGCTTTCTACTTCATGACCCCAGCCAACCTTTCCAGCTTATCGTTCCTTCCAGTCCTACCTGCAAGCCGCACTTCAGCTAGGTGGACTAACTACCTGTCCTTTGACACACCTACACTGTCTATCCCATCCTTTCCCCTCTGCTCACCTGGTAAATGTCCTACATGATCTCCAGATACCAAGGCCTTTGCATGCAAGTGCCACTTCAAACTCCCTCAGACATCTTAGAACTTTATACCTCTGTGGAAGGCACTAGTCTTCATTTCCCTTGAACTTAAGTTACTTCTAGGTCTACCTGTGTGGTAATATACCTCAAGGCAGGACCTGAGGTATCTGCTGCAGCTCATAGCACGGTGCCTTTCCTTATACACAGAAGTGGCTCATGAACAGTTGAGCGAACTAAATGGAAATTCTGGGTGTACATAGTATCTGGGACATAGTGGTCTGTCTCATGTTCATTGTTGAATGAATGAATGAATTTTTAAGACTGGAAGAGGATATAAAAGAAATGTAGGTAGTAATTCTAACAGAAATGATCTCTATCAAATTATTAGTAATATAGGTGGTATAAACTTGATAGAAATAAACAGTCTACAGAAACTCTCTGGAGAGAGGATATGGTTGATTCTCACCTTGTATCTGGCATAACGACAGCTTTTTAGTTAGCATCTTGAATTTGAGACACAATTAAAAATCTTTGCCAACTGGATCACAGTAAATACAACTCTGAATCATGGAGTCTCACCTTCCTATCTCTGAAGTGGGAATGATAATAACAGGTTGATTGCAAAGACTGAATAATATAACCTGTAGTAACTTTTTTTAAACTGTGAAGTTCAATAAAAATTTCAAGTGTTTTTATCAGTCTACTATTTAGACAGCTGTCCTCCAGAGTTGATGATTTGGTGAACTCTTGATAAAACCTTCAGTTTTCAGAAAAGGTAAATGAGAAGAACTGTTACTTTAGTCTCCATTTGATCACCACAAAAGAATAGTGTGGTACTGTGAAATGAAGGAGAATTTGCAGTACTATGCAGGTTTTTCCTTCATTCTCCTCCCAATCTCCTCCTAGAGCAGATCTCCTCCCAGGGCTGCCCATCAGAAAAATACAGGCCTCTCTGTTAGCAGACCTGTCCCTAAAGGCCCAGCTTTTCCTGCCTGCTTTTGTCTGTGCAAGTATCCTTTACTCTTCTCTCCCTTTTTATTATAAACCTGACTTTGGATAGTAAAAAAAAAGAAAAAAAGAATTTGCAATAATGACTGAAGAATCCCCCAGGCTCCCAAGACTAGGCATAGGAACTACCAGATAGATTGGAGTGGTTGTTCTGAAGCCTGCAGGCTGAAGAGAAACACAGCTGGAGAAAGATGTGAGCATTTAAAAATCAGAATTCTGAGTCCCATGATGGAAGAAGAAAAATGAAGTGCCTCAAACATTAACAGTAATATTTAGGAAGCCTGTCCAGTGTACCAGGATTGTGCTAAAGGCTCAACACTTATTATTCCTTTGAATTTCACAATAGTCTTTTGAGGTACCCTTGAATGAGCTCAGTTTTGAAGTGGTCACATGCCACGGTGGAAAGAACTTCAGTGAACTTTAGGATAGACTCCCAGGTATTATTAAAGTATTTTGGAATTGCCTGGAGAAATATGGGATTATTTGAAGACAAATGGGTTTACTAAAAATAAGGCATGCCAGACTTTTTTTCATAAAGTTTCTAAGATGATGTGTTGGTAGAGGCTACATTTTTATTTAAGGCATTTGTGGAGTGAGATTTTAAGCTGGGTGACTTATAATGCTAATATCCTATGTCTCAGCTGAAGCTGGAGAGGTTCCATAGGTGCTTAATAAATTGCTTTACAACTTTTCTCCTGTGACATGACCTTGGGATTCTGTGTATAGTCACAGCTTTGCCAGCTACCAGAGAGTTGAGTGCACTGAATCTCGTAAGTTCTCAAAATATAAAACCTGCAGATATTTAATATAACATTGTTCTTCTCATGTGTGTTTACTCTGTAAACGTCACAGTTGAAACCTCTAAGAAATTTTCAAAACATATTGACTGCATTTATCATATCTGGGAGCCACCCAGTACTTTCAGAAAAAGCAGTTTGATGATTTATCTTTTATATATGCTTCCACAGACTACTGAAGTTACAAAGGCCTAGTGTATTGGTCAT